CCCCAGCGCGCCGGCGGGCAAAGGTACAACCCACCAGAGGACAGCATGGTCAGGGGAGTGGTGGGCCCCTTTGGGGTTTGAAAGCTACTGGGACATCATGTTTAGAAAATAAACGTCTCAGTTTCTCCGAAACACCCGCAACATACGGAATAACCACTGGTTTGGGTCTGGGTTTGGGGTCTTCAAACCCAGACCCAAACCAGTGGTTATGTGTGATCAGTCATACATTGGGGAAACAAAACAGCCTCTGTTCAAAAGAATGAGCCAGCACAGACGAGCTACTTTGTCGGGTCAGGACTCTGCAGTTTACACTCATCTACAGGCCAGCAGTCACTCTTTCAGGGATGAAGATGTTCTCATCCTTGATAGAGAGGAACGTTGGTTTGAGAGAGGAGTAATAGAATAGAATAACATAATTGTCTGTCCCAGATGGTGACAGAAATTTTTCTTTGACAGGGCTCCAACAACAGCATACTTGCAACACACTCAACTACCCATAAAAACACATTAAAACACATAAAAGGGACTGTTAAAGCAACTGTTAAATACATTACAATACTGTCATTATTTTTAAGATATTCAGAGTGGATTTTGCAAGCGGAATAAATKACTTTTTGTATATTGGCCAGATGAACTTTGAACCTTCTGCCTAACGGGAGCAGCTGGAATGTGTGATGGAGGGGATGAGAGGGGTCCTCTGTGATCAGGGTGRCCTTCCTCATCACAGAGTGGTTATGCTGTTCAGAAAGAGGGGTTTGGGGTGAACCAATTATTTTGCTGGCCTGATTATTGATTCGTGACAGTTTGTTTTTGTGTTTCACAGTGAGGAAGTTGTACCAGGATAAATTGTTGAAGGATGGATTCAATGAGTGATTTATAAACCAGGGTTAAAATGTCTTTCTTGATATTAAAAGATTGCAGTTTCCTCAGCAGGTGGAGACGATGTGCTTTTTAAAAAATGGAATCTGTGTGCTCTTCAAAAGAGAGCTGGATGTCAATTTCTGTCCCAATGTATTTAAATGACTCCACCTGTTCCATCTGCTGAACCTGGATGCTGAGTGGCTGGAAGAGAGGTAATCTGGCATCTTTATCTCTGCCCCCAAAGCACAACTCTTTGGTTTTTGTGACATTCAGTTCCAAGAAATTGTCATTAAATGTTCTAATCAAAATGTCAACTGCCTGCTGGTACCGGGGCAGAGCATCAGAGCCAGTCATGTGAGCCACCAGGGCCATGTCGTCTGCGTATTTAAAAAGTGACATCCCTTCACTGTTGCAGGAAATGCTTTGGGTGTACACAGAAAACAGAGCAGGAGATAAAACACAACCTTGAGGGAGCTCTGTGTTTAAAATCATCTTACTTGACTTAAAACCATTAAAAAGGACCTGTTGTGGTCTTGTCTGTAAAAAAGTTTGAATCCATAAAATCAGTGATGAGTGAACCTGTACATCTAAAAGGCACTGCAGTAAAATGCTGATATTTACAGTGTTAAAAGCAGAAGAGAAATCCATAAATAAAACTCTTGTGTGTGGCTGTTTGGAGTCCAGATGTTTGGTGATGGTGTCTAAAAGCATGAGGAGGCTTGCGTCTTCCACCCCACGCCTTTCCTTTGAAGCAAACTGGACGGGGTCCAGTTTATTTGACACCATCCTTTTTAACTTATCGCTCACATTTCTCTCCATACATTTACATAAAACTGAAGTCAGCGCCACAGGTCTAAAATCTTTTATCTTTTGTATGTGTCTTTTTGGGCATGGAGATGATGATAACAGATTCCTTCCACTGGTTGGGGACAGAACCAGAATCCAGAAGCTGCTGGAAGAGTTTTGTAAGAGGTCCACTGAGCTGACTGCAGCAATTTTTCAGCACTCTGCCGCTGAGCCTGTCAGGGCCAGGGGCTTTGTAGGGGTTGAGTTTTTGGAGAATGGATGTCACCTGATGCCTGTTGATGATGAGATGTGGGTGGAGGGAGCTTGGTGGTGGGTAGGTCCATGTCAGTGTACTATTGTTGTTGAACCGGGCGAAGAACTTGTTCAGTTGGTCTGCAAGAGAGGAAGGATCTGAGCAGCTGACTGCTGCAGGCTTGGTGACTCGGCCCATCATGGAGTTCAGGGCCTGCCATGCGTCTCTTGCATTCCCAGATGTTAATTTTTCTTCCACTTGGTTCATGTTGTTGATCTTGGCCAACATGGCCTCCTTCTTGAACACCCTTTCCAGCTCTCTCATCCTAGATTTGTCTCCCTGAAGAAAAGCATGTTTTTTTTCTGGATGAGGCAGAGTTTCATGTCTTTTGTAATCTATTTTTTATTGTTGGGATGAATGGTTATGACTTTGTTAGAAGTGGCATTGTCCTCACAGAATAAAATATAGGAAGTTAAAATGTCTGTTAAAAGATGTGGATCATCCCTGTATTCATTAAAAACAAGTCCCAGTCAGTAAAATCAAAGCAGCCTTTAAGTGCTTAAGCTGCTTCTTCATTCCAAACCTTAAGGCTTTTTTTAACAAGATCACCAGTCTTTAGTTGTGATCTGTATTTGGGTGGTAACAGAATCACATTATGATCTGAACGGCCAAATGGTGGGCGTGGTTTGGAAATATATGCGCCTGGGATGTTACCAAAGCACAAGTCCAGTGTATTGTTCATTCTGGTGGGAGTTTTAACATATTGTTCCGGGGAAGGTAAATGAGTGGTTACTGTATGTTATACCTGTTAAAATCCCCCAGTAAAAACACTGGCTGCTCTATAGTCTGACTGATAGGTCTGTTGTAGCTGTCAGTGATGTGCTCTGCAGAAAGGTTAAAATCCAGACCTGTACACAAGGATGACAGTGATCTGGGAGAACTCTCTGGGCAGGTAGCCTCTCTGGGTTTTTGCAACTCAGTCTCTCCCGCACTGTAACATTTGTTGCCCACCTGTTGTTGACAGCCATAGAGTCCGCCCCCGATTGACTTCCTGGTTTTTGTCGCATCTCTGTCAAAATGTATGATGTTAAATCCATCCAGATGGAAGTCTGTGTCCTCAGAAATCCAGGTCTCAGTAAAACAGAATAGTTTGTTTAAAATCCATGTCGAATTTTAAAAGAGCAGCGAGTTCTTCAGTCTTATTCCGAAATGATCGGACATTTGACAGCGTTATGGCAGGTAGCGGCAGCTGACTTTCTCGCCTTCTGCGCCGGTTCCATATTTCTCCTCTGGATCCTCTTTTCCTTCGGATCCACTTTCGTTTTTGTGTGTGAAGAAGTTCAGGAGGTATGTTGCTGGTTTGGAGGAATATGTTCATTGTTTCTGGAAGAAGTTGGCAGCCCAGCTCCTGCAGGTATCCTCCTGAATAGCTGAGTCTGCCAGCGTTGTTAAAAGACGCTGCCGTCATTGGTAAACTAGGACAGTTTACGTCCCACAGGAGGTTGATCATGAGCCAAAGAAAGGCCAGATAAAATATTGTTGCTGATAACATCTCGTTGATCACAATGACGACAAAATATTAAGAAAAAGTAATTTAAAAACATTAAAAATCTTCAGACACACACACAGAGAGCCGTGTCAGGAGTTGCTCCCAGAGTAGTGCCCCCTAAGGAAGCCATTTTTGTGAAGAAATAGCGTCCACCGTTAAACAGAGGTGGAGGCCTTCATGTCCAGTTGTCCTCCTCCTACAATGCTGTTATTGCAAGCATGACTCAGCCCCCTGTGAGCAAAAGGTGTGAATCAGGGCCCCAACGATACCCAACACAGAGGGAGAGACAAAAACAAGGGGACTTTGAACCCCGCTTGCATTCACTACATGCACATAACAAAACACCAAATAACCACAGCCGAAGCATCCAAACCAATAAGTCAGGTGATGGGGCACACGACCCTCCATGAACAATAGAGCTAATCAAGCCTAATGTTAGGCAATGGCCCTCTTTTGCATGTGACTAACCTGTTTGTCCACCATGTGGAGGCAGTGCTTATAAGGCTGAGTTCACCTGAAACTCATCAGACTGAAGAAGTCTCTTGGAGGAGAGACGAAACGTTGCACTAAAGAACCCATCCAGAGGACCTATTTATTTATTTCTTTTTGACTCTGCTGAAGATTCTCATCACATCTCCTCTGACCACAGCTGAATCTGAGGAGCTTCTCAACACTGAAGAGAATCCAGACTTTCCTCAGGTACATCACATCTCACTGCATTGACCATGCTCAAAAGAGAAGAATCATGTTAAAACATCCCTGACTTTAACCAGTCATGAAGAAATTTGTTTCTCAGTAACAGAAGAGCAAAATCTATGTAAAAAAATCAAACACTACATGACATTGTAATGCTGTTTTATTATTTTCATTTGCTTAATAAATACACTGTCRTGATACAACTTAGTACAAGTTTGATTGCTTTTGGAGATGAGCCTATTTTGGAGTTGTAGCCCCCCTGGAGAAAAATCCACCAGCCGCCACTTCTTGGGTCCCCAGAAGGAGCATTCAGTCTCCACGAAGCTGCATTTTCCTGACAAATTGTTCTCAACAAGTAGCAAAAACAAGGGCACACACAAACATGCAGCTGTTTCCTTCCATTCAGGTAGAAAAAGAGAGGAGGGACACTAATAAAAAGTGAAAGTTCATATTCATATTCAGTTCACAGTATGATAATACACACTTGAAATAAAATACATTTAAAAAGGAAAATCATGTCAGAAATGTAATTTTTTTCATTTATAATGAATCAAAAATAATTATAACAAACTGTCATGTCAGCATTATCTGCAGACACAGACAGATTATTGAAGCTAGATAGAAGCTGCCTCTAAGAAGCTTTTTCAAACAAACCTCAGTTAGGAGACATGACCGCCAGTGGTGGTCAAAAGGTCATGTCAGGGGTCACGGTCGTTCATGCTACAGATGTGTGTGTAAAGACAAATTAATGTTCTTCCTGTGTGAATTCTCATATAAGGGTCAAATAAGTGCTTCGTTTTTTGTGTGGATTCTCATGTGTTTGTTTAAATTTCCCTGTCGGGTAAACCTTCGATCACACAGCTCACAACAAAATGTTTTCTGTCCTGTGTGGATTCCCATGTGTCTATTTAAATTGCTCTTTGTGGTAAACCTTTGATCGCACAGCTCACAACAAAATGGTTTCTGTCCTGTGTGGATTCTCATGTGTTTATCTAAATACCCCTTTGTGGTAAACCTTCGCCCACACAGCTCACAACAAAATGATTTCTGTCCTGTGTGGATTCTCATGTGTGTGTTTAAACTGCCCTTTTCAGTAAACCTTCGATCACACAGCTCACAACAAAATTGCTTCTGTCCTGTGTGGATTCTCATGTGTGTGTTTAAACTGCCCTTTTCAGTAAACCTTTGATCACACAGCTCACAACAAAATGGTTTCTGTCCTGCGTGTATTCTCATGTGTGTGTTTAAATACCCCTTTGTGGTAAATCTTCGCCCACACAGCTCACAGCAAAATGGCTTCTGTCCTGTGTGGATTCTCATGTGTTTGTCTAAACCGCTCTTTTCAGTAAACCTTCGCCCACACACCTCACAACAAAATGGCTTCTGTCCTGTGTGGATTCTCATGTGTTTGTTTAAATTGCTTTTTCTGGTAAACCTTTGATCACACAACTCACAACTAAATGGTTTCTGTCCTGTGTGGATTCTCATGTGTATGTCTAAACTGCCCTTTCTGATTAACCTTTGACCACATAACTCACAACTAAATGGTTTCTGTCCTGTGTGGCTTCTCATGTGTGTGTTTAAACTGCTTTTTGTGGTAAATCTTCGATCACACACCTCACAGCAAAATGGTTTCTGTCCTGTGTGGCTTCTCATGTGTGTGTTTAAACTGCTTTTTGTGGTAAATCTTCGATCACACACCTCACAGCAAAATGGTTTCTGTCCTGTGTGGCTTCTCATGTGTGTGTTTA